GCCCGGCTGAAAGCCAGGGAGCTATTTCTAGCCCCTGGAACAGCATTAATCCGTGAGAGGGAACAGAGCCGGGGAGCTGCTGCCTCCCCAGCCTGCTCCAGCGAGGGAACTGCAGGAGCTGCCGCGGGTCTGGTTCCTGTGCGTTAATAAAATACAGGATTTAGAACCTGAAAAGCCTCATCTCCTTAAGTTTCAAAGAACTCTCCCTCCTTCCCCCTTTTCTCCTTGGTACAAAAGCCTAAATATATAACCTTCAAAAGCTAATTCACCAACACAGAGAAAACAAAGGGCATTTAAATTTACTAATGCTCCCAAGCTTTTTTTTTTTTTTGTTGTTGCTTTTTTTCCCCTATTGTTCTTGGGTTTGTTACTTTTTTTTTTTTTAAAGGGAACATCTTACTTTTGATTATTTGGGGATGGCAATGGCAAAGTAAAAATTCACCTTGAAGGATTCATCCAGAAGCAGAGTCCACAAATCAAAGCCCAAGTGCATAGATACTCGTGCCAAGGGATGTTTCTTACATGAGGCCACTCAATGTGGTCATTGCAGCAGTAAAAATAAGCCATTAAACTATTTGGCTTGTTTTTACAGTGTGTTTATGAGTAGAATAGCACAAATAAGAGGCTGGTAATCCCCACTACAGGGGGAGGTTGCTTCAAAAAGAATTAGCTTTACACACACCATTGAAACCCAGGATCCTTTCCCATTTCCACATCAGGAACCTTGGATTCTTTGCTGGAGCACACACACATTTGCTGTGCTTGTGGGTGCTGTGATGGGGAGCCAATGTGAGAATCAGAGGATTGTTTGGGTTAGAAAGGACCTTTAAAGGTCACTTCATCCAACCCCCCTGTGGTGAGGATCACATTTGGAGTGATAAAAAGGCCTCCTGGTTATTTAAGGTATCCACTCTTACAGTCCTGGACAAGAACTCAGCACTGGCTGAGGAACTTTAGGGCAGCTGGGTCAGATCTTGCTTTCAAGGTGTTTTCTTAAAAGGTACCAGATTAATTGGAAAGGTATGAAAAATTGAAGAGAATGTCTCTGGAGACATGAGACAGCTCAACGTGGGAGCTGAAAACCACACAGGGAGCTGTCTGCACCACAGCAGAAGAAACCCAGAGTCCAGACCACCTCTAACCACCAAGGAACGATCCAGGGCAGGGCTGTGAAGTCCTGTCCCCGGCTCTGGGCAGGGCTGTGAAGTCCTGTCCCCGGCTCTGGGCAGGGCTGTTCTGTCTCAGCAGCAGCTCTCTCACTCTGACACAGCAGAACCAGTTTCTTCCCCAGTACTGCCATCTTGTGAAATCCTCCTGCTACGTCCGTTGAGTTTTCAGGTGGTTTATCTCAAGATCTTCTCTCACTGCTGACCAGGGGAGAGACCAGTGGGAAGGACAGAGCCCACTAAAAACAATGAGCCTACCCACAGCACCTCAGGGCCTGAGAGAGCTGCTGCTATCACAGCCCTGGTCACAACAGCTGAAGTGCCTCTGGGTCCCTTAACTTGTGACAAAGTGGAGCCGTGCAGGCTCCAGGCCTCAGGAAGGTCAGGGTTTATGGGCACTGGCAGCAGCACTGTAAGTGAATTAAACACCACAGTAGCTGGTAAGGCACCCTGCAAACCTTGCCTTCATCAGCATGAACAGGGAATCACAGGATCGCTTGGGCTGGAAGGGATGTTAGAGATCACCTCGTCCCAATCCCCTGCCACGGGCAGGGCCACCTCCCACTACAGCAGGTTGCTCAAATCCCATCCCAC